TTTCAACATCCCAGGGGTAGATGATAGTGTTTTTTCTACTTGGAATTTCTTTTCCTCTCTTTGCCATCTTCCAAATGTACCTTATCCTTGGAGACCCTGTTCAGATGCTCCCAGTACTCTGGAGCTTTGTTGCTTCTCTTCTTGTCCAATGGAATTAGAAGCCCTTTATTCTGATTTTATCCTACCCCTGCCCACTGTATTATTGTTAGGTTATGGTCCCTTTCTGCCTTTCCTGCCCACCTTTGAGCTCCTCTAGGGAACAGATACTATCTGATTCTTTTTCATGTCTTCCTCAGCAGATATTGCAAACTCTCCAAATTACTTACTGAGTTGAGATAAATTTTTGACTTTATAATTGAAGTCCTTTTCCAATTGTGGTTTGAGTAGGACCTGTCTGTGTTGTTGGAGCAAAAGAGCTGTAGGGAATCATTTGATATGTGCACATCTGATAAGGAAAGTTAGGCTGTGATCACTGTGGCTCATCTGCAAGTTCTTTCCCTCTTAGGAATAAAACTGCTGCTTTCACGGATGCCAGGATCAGGACCATGAATGAAGTTATAACTGGTATAAGAATAATTAAAATGTATGCTTGGGAAAAGCCATTTGCAGACCTTATTGCCAATTTGAGAAGGTAAGTTTTTATATACATTATGCCCTATTTTTGTACTTTTTCTGTTTCCGATTTCTACTGAATGGTTTGAGAATTCTTACTATGTTTTCAACCTTTTGGTGAAACGTACCCTTGCATGTGGCATGAGGGTTACATAGAATGGTGTAGGACATCATTTTAGGCGGGTCTTCCATTTTCCATGTTCTTACAGCAGAAAGTATATGTGTTTCTTGATTGATGTAAAAATGAAATTCCACCTGTTTGTCAGTGTCCTAAATCCCTGACAATGCCTAGATGCTAGCAATTCTATAAGCCTTTTTTTTTTTTTTGAGATAGGGTCTTGCTCTGTTGCACTGACTCTGGCTGTCTGGCCCTGGCTATCCAGCTGGCCCTGGCTATCCGACAGGGCTTCATCATAGGTCACTCACAGCAACCCCAAAGCTGCTCAAGTGTTCCTCCTTCCCCAGCCTTCTGAGTAGCTGGGACCACAGGTTGTGCCACTGGCTAATTTTTTCTATGTTCTGTAGAAATAGGGTCCCTCGCTCAGGTTGGTCTTAAATTGCTAACCTCAAGTGTACTTCCTGCCTGGGCCTCCCAAAGTAGTAGAAATTATAATTTATGTTAATGTAGGCAAATGGAATGATTATAGAGGTTGGGTGTACCTATATTGGGCCAAACTATGAGTCAATACTCATTCTAGACAGCTGTGCTAAAACTGTTACTTTTGGTTTGGCTTTACATTTTTAGAATTTTTATTTATTTGGCTTTGGTTTAAATATATTATATTTGGTTAGTTTTTGTACTCCAGCAGATGGTCCTTCTCAAAATTCCTTGGTGGCGTATGGCCAACTCTCAGCTTGGGAGATCACCTCCCTGTGTTTCAGAGCTGTGCTCTTCTTCCTCCTCTTCCCTCTACCATGCCTGGGACCCTCCCTGACCTTGCCACTCTGAGTTACTCACCTCATTTCTGTGATTCTTGGGACACTGTGCCAGCTACATCTAGTCTTGAGGGTCTCACAATTTGGGGGTTGCTTATTCTCTTCTCCCATAAGTTCTGGAGACCCTGTAGGGGATAGGCTATGTCTTACTCATCGGTGAGGGACCTGGCATAGGACTTGAGTTTACCACTTCTTGTTGAATGAATCTGTTGGAATGATTATTCAAACCCAGTCTGATTCACCCCCAAATGTCAAGCGCTGACATTAAACATTATTTCCTGTTATGAATAGAGTGGTTATTTAGTGGTCTTGTCTGGCCCTAGAATTAAAGCTATTCCTAGGGGTGGGCTGTCAAATATTTCTATGATGTAAGAGACAGTTTATCCTAATTTGTGTCTTTACCTAGAAAGGGACCACATGCAACAGGCATTTGAAATCATGACTTTAATGTTGATGCTTCCTTTAAAACCTCTATTCACTCTTTTTACAGAAAGGAAATCTCCAAGATACTGAGAAGTTCCTACCTCAGAGGGATGAATTTGGCATCATTTTTCAGCGCAAGCAAAGTTATCGTGTTCGTGACCTTCACCTGCTATGTGCTCCTTGGCAATGTGATTATGGCCAGCCAAGTGTTTGTGGCAGTGTCTCTGTATGGAGCGTTACGGTTGACAGTCACCCTCTTCTTCCCCTCTGCCATTGAGAAGGTGTCAGAATCGATCGTCAGCATCCGAAGAATCCAGGTTTGGGGTGTCAAATGATATTTGAAAGTTGCAGGTGGATTTGAAGTCAAATAATACTTGTCACGGTGTTCAAGTTTAGTGAGGCTTAAGTCTCCCAGCACCAGAGCGCACAGTCATTCCAAAACACTGTGCGTCCTTCACTGTCTGAGATGGTGTGTGCTGGCATAAGGTGAGAATTCCTGTCATCTGGGACAGCAGTGTAAACCACAGTGTCAAAGGGCTCTGGATGTCCATCTGGTAACTGCAGGTGTGATTAAAATATCTAAAAGTGGGGGAGGCAAAAAGATTTCATCTCCTAATGAGCAGGTAGTGAGTTTGTGAGGCTCTAGGTCAAGGAGGAGTCCTCTTGAAATGCTAGGAGGCCTCTTGATCTTTGGGCAGGAAGAATGACCTCAGTTCCATTTAGTCATCCCCTTTATAAAAATGAGTTCTTTTCTCCCTGGATACTGTCCTCATGTTAATTTCTGGCCGTACCTTTTGTGTCTCTGCCTTGACATCCTGTCCTCTTCTCAGTTTTTCATCCTGTCTTTGACAGGCCTCTTTCTTTCTAATTTGTTGATTTCCATTGTCTTGGTTTGTTAGTGTTGCATAAGAAAATAACCTGAGACCAGTTAATTTATCAATAGTAGAAATTTTGGTGTCTTGGAAGTCCAGGGTCAGGCTCTGACACAGGTGTCTGGTAAAGGGTGCTCTGGCTTCCAAGCTGGCACCTTGGATGCTGTGTCCTCATAGGACAGAATGGACAGAGGGAACAGAGGGCCTGGCTAGTTCCCTCCAGCTGGGTGTAAGGGCACTAATTCTATTTACAAGGGCATTTCCCTCCTGGCCAAATCACCTCCTAAAAGCACCACCTCTTAGTACTCTACCATTGGGGTTTAAGTTCCAACCTGTGAATTTTGAGGGGGGAACATACATTCACATCACAGCACCCACCAAACCCACTGTCATCTGTTCCCATTAACTGTCTCTAACTTGCTAGGGACAAATGATGTGTTCACCAAGGTAAGGGCTTAGCACATAGTAGGTGCTCAAGTATTTGTGTGTTCCTGACAAGGTCTTAAATTAGGACTTGGCTCTGTGAGAGGCTTGGCCAGAAGGTGGGTTTTCAGGCATTAAAAACATCTATTTTGCTTTATTCTTGGTTCTTAGTTGAGATGGATGCCCAAGAACAGGTTCTAATGAACTTCACAGGCAGTAGATGTGATTTTTTTTTCTTTTTTGCCTTTTCATAGAAGCTGATGTATTTTTTATGATGAAGATTCTGCGTTTTAGTATATGTGCTGCCAAAGCAAATGCTAAAGATTCTATGTTAATAAAAAAAATTACTTATAAAAAGATCAGTTGTCCAGGGCCAGTTCTGCTCCCCTGAGCTTATCATTCTTATTTTTATTTATTTATTTATTTTTTTTGAGACAGGAGCCTCAAGCTGTCCCCTTGGGTAGAGTGCCATGGCATTTCGGCTCACAGCAACCTCCAGCTCCTGGGCTCAAGTGAGTGTCCTGCCTCAGCCTCCCAAGTAGCTGGGACCACAGGCGCCTGCCACAACGCCCAGCTATTTTTTGGTTGCAGCCGTCACTGTTGTTTGGTGGGCCCAGGCTGGATTCGAACCCACCACTTTGGGTGTACATGGCTGGCGCCTTAGCCACTTGAGCCACAGGTGCTGAGCCGAGCCGAGCTTATCATTCTGACAGTGGCTTTGAGCAGCATTGTTGTAGATGCTCCATGCAGTTCAGTAAAACGTTTTTATGGAGTTTTTGCATCTTGAAAGCAATTAGGAATGTACTATGATGGTGTCATCCTAACTACACTATACCTTGTAGGGACAGTAGTGTCATGGATATATTGTGTTGCTGTGATTTTGTTGTTGCTGCCACTTGCTTTGATAGCAGCTGCCAGTGTGTCTGATGGCCCAGGTTTCTTGGCATCCTTGACATTTAATCCTGACAACAATTGAATGAGATGAACATATTCCCTTTACAGTGAAGCAAGTAGCCCCTGTAATAGGCTAAACAGTTTGCCAGTTTCAGGGGGCTTGTAAATGGCAGAACTGGGAATTGGCTCAGAGCCCTGAGCTTGGGCCAAGCGATCCTCTTGAGACCAGCCTGAGCAAGAGAGAGACCCCATCTCTACAAAAAGTAGGAAAACTAGCTGGGCCTTGTGGTGGGCACCTTTAGTCCAAGCTACTCAGGAGGCTGAGGCAAGAGGATTGCTTGGCCCAAGAGGTTGAGGTTGCTGTGACCTATGCATGACACTACAGCACTCTACCCAGGATAACAGCATAAGACTCTATCTCAAAAAAAAAATGAGATGATTAAAATGACACTTAGGGAAATATTCCACATGTCAGAATAGGCTCCAAAGCACTAATATTAGAAACCAGGGCTCCCGATAAAGTGGTATTTTAAGGTACAAGTTAAGAATTTTATCTTTTGGGGGGATTTTAATAATTGTCAGTCTGTCTGTATTGCTATAACAGAACATCACAGAAATTTATTTCTTACTGTTCTGGAGAGTAGAAAGTCCACGTTCAAGGTTTGGTTGTCTCCTGGGGGCTGCTGAGGTTTGGCTCTCTCCTGGAGGCTGCTCTCTGATTCCTCAGTGGCTTCTTGTCTCAGCATTTGTCAGGGGGTGGAGGGAGGAACGCTGCATCTGCTGGGGCAGAAGTGGAGGACTGGAGAGCTGAATGCTGCTGCATGAATAAGGTGACCAGATTTTAACATTGGTAAAGCCAGACACCATTGGGGGGGTCTGGGGGGGGTGCCTGACAACAATGCAAACTTTGATAAGCAGTTCTAGATAATCAGTTCTCAACAATTATTTGTTATTATTAAAGTTTAACATTATAAAATTAACAAAAATAATATAAAATGCATATCCTGGTGAAATAGCCACGTGGCAGCCGAAAACCGTATATTCCCTTCCTGTTCTGTGTTCCCTAGCTTGTCACACATTCTTTCCCAAAACTGTGGCTTTTTTAAAATGCCATAGGATGTAGGACAAATTGTTAAAAATTGGGACTGTCCCACCAAAAGCGGGACATCTGGTCACCTTACTATAAGGGCGGGGTGACTGACTTGTTTGTTCCAGACAGTTTGGCTCCTTCTGAGCTAATTGTCCTTGCCTAGAAGCAAGG